GAGAATGAAATTTTTAAACAAAGATACTTATCAATATAAGTTCAGACAAAATTTTTTGACTTTAGGTTTTCTTTATTCCTCTTTAATTTACTTTACTTTGTATTGTTTGATTATCATTTTCAACATAAAATGAGAAAACTTGGAACAATGCTTAGATTTATCGTATTTTTCATCAATTTCCTTGTTTTCAAATGAGTTGTTTCTGATTAATAAATAATTTATTGCTTTATGCAAGTACCTCTTGTGGATGCCATATAAGCTGTAGTTAAGTATAACGTGTTAGGAACGAAGATATTAGTCCAGTGCGTTTTGAATTGCTGTTTAAGTTAATAAAAGAATTTGTAATTCTATTTTATTAATATCAGGCTTCTGAAGCAATATTTCCAAATTACTCGTTTACTTCTTAATTCTAAAGGGATAAGTTTCACTCTTTGTAGGTAATAAGACTCATTTATGACAACATATTACATTTTCCATCATTAACTGTATTTGATATTTCAGTCTTAGCTAGCGGTTAATATTATTGTTTCATATTTGTCCTTAAATACAAAATCAATATCGATATGATGACAATTAAAAGGATAGTATATAGTACAAATATTTATTAACCACAAAACGGGACATTTTATATTTTAGAATAGCTGCAAAAATCAATATCTAAACAAACGTAGACAACTAAAAAAACAATATTAATATTGGTATCAAGATTGCTAGAAATTGAATAGATCATACAAAATCGGAATAAATGGATATAGTTACGTAATACAAGGAATTACGTAAACCCGCTTAGACTTTAGTTGCTATAAAGAACTACATTTCATGTTCATTACCAAACATTGTCAGTAATATACTATTTATTTATTTATTTGAACACATGAATATTGTTACAAAAGAGCTCCAATATATATGGGCCACACAAATTAATGATAATTCGAAGAGAAAAAAAGGTAAGGAGCGTAAAAAAAGAGAACAATAACGAAGAGATTGGTGTAAGGTAGTGTGGTAGTAATGAGGGAACGGTAAGGTGCAATCGGAAAAAAAAATCTTTCAGGTAAGCCAGACACAACCACTTTTTATGAAGAAAGTAAGAAGAGGTTACAGCAGGATCGCCACTGGCTTCTATTCTGAGCCATATCTGACAACGTCTCTAGCCACTGTGTAGCACCATCTCTCAGACCCCAATCAGGGAGTCGTGAAGCACCAACACAAGCCAGTCCTTTACAGCTTTCTTTCATGCCACGACACCATATCATGCACTGACCACCTCTCCGCTTCCTCCAACCAGTCCCAGAGTCGGCAAATAATGCACGACGTGGAATTCTCTGAAACGGCATTCGTAGAACATGTCCAAGCCACCGAAGTCGATGTTTCAAGATGGTGACACCAACTGAATTATCATCTCTGTGCCCGAACACACGATGCCGAACCTCTGCATTACTGACATGGTGTTGCCACTGAATGTCAGCAATCCTTCGGAGACAACGATGATCGAACACAGAGAGTCGTCTAACGTCCTCAACTCGGAGAGGCAAGGTTTCAAAAGCATAGATCAAAACTGCTCTCACCGACGCGTTGTAGATCCGACCTTTTACAGCCAGACTGATACCACGAAGGTGCCAAAGGTGGCCCAGATTGGCATAAGCCGCTTTGGCTTTCACTATACGTGCATTGATCGCATCACTCACCCCCCACCAACACTTATGCAACTACCCATATACACGAACTTCTCGACTACGTCTATCTACTCACCATCCAGGGTGAGTACAGGATTGGAATCCTGCCAGTCTTGTAAAAGTACTTTGCACTTCGAAGGTGCAAAGCATATACCATACCTACGGACACTGATTGCCAACTGTTTAAGTGTGGATTGCATGCCTTGGGCATTATCACACAGTAAGACAATATCATCTGCATACTGAAGGTCGAGAAGTCTTTCTCCAGACAACAGATCCACACCGCCATTACTTACATCCATCAGAGCTGTTTCTAGAATGTCGATGGCAAAGTTGAAGAGGAATGTTGAGATTGGGCAACCCTGCCTGACCCCACTGCTCGAATGGAACAATGGAGAGAGGTGGTTGTATGCTCTCACTCTGCCTGAGGTGTTTGTGTATAGGGCTTTTAGGACGTTAATAAACGTCTCAGGCACACCCTTCTTCAATAAACAATCCCATAAAACAGTCCTGTCTAACGAATCGAAGGCAGCCCTGATGTCAAGAAACACTACGATTGTTGGCCTTTGATAAGTATGGCGGTGTTCTAACATTTGGCGGAGGGTGAAGATATGATCAATACATCCTCGACCAGAACGAAACTCAGCCTGCTCCTCGCGAGTCAATTTTTCTCGGGTTTTGAACAACCTACGAAGTATGACGGAAGCCAATAGCTTGGACGTAATCGGAAGTAGACTTATCTCCCAATAGTTGTTACGGGAACGACGTAAACCCTTTTTAAAGATAGGGACAACTATCGACTCATTCCATGACGTTGGTACACTCTCTAGTTCCCAAACCTTTGTAAACAGCGTCGTCAATTCCTTGGTCAAAAAGTCATCACCATCTTTAAAAGGAGCCGGAGGTGAGTCATCTGGGCCAGGTGATTTGTAACGCTTCAAGAGTTGGAGTTCCTTGCTGACTTCCTCCTCGTTTGGTGGATCAGTCGTCACCGGCCACGGAGGGCAGGACAGTCTGATCTTGGGTAATTTAACAAATGCATTTTATAAATACCCAGGACAGGGTTGGATGGAGAGTGCTGGTGGGTGGACTATGCTCCTGCGTAAGTAAGTATATGCACATATTTAAAAATCTCTTAACAACAAACGATAACTTCATATATTGTGACTCCAGTACTTTACCATAATGACCTGAGCAGATATATTTTAAGAAAAATATCCTGTTAACTATAAAAGTAAACGTTTATAAAGTGTAATTCCATGAAATGTTTTTTACTACTGTTGTACCGACATCAAAGCGTGTTCATTATTTTTACGATAAATGAATTACCAGTCTTTATTCAGCAAAATTTCAATGAGATTTTGGTTTTTAATTTCAGGAATTCTATCTATAGTTTGTAAAATTTTACAAACATAGAACACTGAACAAATACTCAGTTAGATTTCCCACCAATTTGCTTTTATGTACCTAAAAAAAAGAGAATTTCTTGGTACGTTGATATTTTCATCATATTTCCTATCTATATCTTTCAAATGAAAGTCATATGAGGCATATAAAGATGTTTTAAATCATGACATTTCAAAAAGACAAAGCAATGTATACTGGATCTAAATCTATAAAAAAGTCAATTACAAGACAACAGTTTACTCAAGAACTAACTGCTCGTCTAGAACAATTATCATTAAAACGTGAAATTCATGAAACAGATGAATATTCAGAAATATCTTTATCATCCTCATCATCAACATCATCATTTCCATCGTCTGTATCGTCACCTAGAAATAGTCTCATAATGCGTACGAATAGATTTTGTATAAACGATAGTAAATTTACAAAAAAAGCAACCAATAATTTACAAAAGTCAAATCAGATAAAATTATCTTCAAAAAACACGAAACCATGTCAACAAACGTGTATTAAATCGAAATGTTTACAACAATCAAATGATAAACAATTTTTAGAAAATGAACTAAATTCTTCCATATCAACACAAGATAATTATAATTATTCTAAAGAGAAATATATTCAAACAAATCAAATGAATAAAACTAGTGGCGAACGTAATTCTCCGCTTAAATCTTTTGAATCATGTACTCAATACCCAAAGGAAAAAGAGGAATTAACTTTAATTAATGAAAATATTTCACGAAAACCACATCAATATGATGTATCAGTAGGAAAAGACAAAAATATTGACCACATATCAGATCAAAGTGATAATGATCAAGAGCTAGAGTGTTTAGAAGATGATACAGTGATAATAGATGATAATGAAGTAAGTAGCTTATATAAAACCATATACACTTACTTCTTAGTATGATTTCTTGTATTTTTTTTAAAAAATATCGGTTGAATTATCAGTCTATTAAGATGGATTCAATTTAGCAAAAATCGTTAAGATGGTAATCAGTTGAAAAACATTTCATATATTACTATTAACTCAATAAAATTAGTAAAGATATCTTTAAGACTGTTAGACATAATAGTTTATTTCAAGTTAGTTTTGTTTAAGAATTCTTTACTATACCGTATTTGGTGTTACATTTTATGGTTGTTATTTTATAGACTGATTCGTCAAACTGTAAAATAAAGCAGAACAATTCTACATTTTACTTGTTAGAACATGTAGCTTATTCAGTAACTATGTTATGTAACTTGATGATGAAACTTTTATGGAGTCTAGAGAACACTATCAAATTTCATCGTTTTACTAACAATCCACTTTATTATCATGCATTCGTGAGTGTGAGATAAATCTTGTTGTATAAAGATGTACATTTACACAGGTTTCTATACCATATCAGCGCAATGAAACAATAATGAACATCAAAAGAGTCATTATAATTTTAATAACAATGATAGTGATAAATATCAAACATTAATAAAATAGATCCTGAAAATGAAACATACAAGTACTTTTGAAGATATGATGAAACTCAAGCTCTAAAGGAAAATAAAGAATAGATAAATCTTCATAATTTCAACCAGTTTTAAGCCATATTATTCAACAAATTGTGGTCATCTCGCGGATACGTTATGCTAAAATCTAGGACAGAATTGTTTCTAATATGTTAAGTCGTTTTAATATCATCATATGGCTTCACTGAAGTTTCTAAAAATAAATAAACATCGAAATCAACCAAAATCACAAAAACTAGTTTAGATCTAATATTACAGAATAACATTAAAATAATAATTACAAACGAAATGGATGTAAGCTGTTATAAAATAATTTGATATATCCAAGATTCTCAACAAATGATTGTTTAAGTATGTACAAAAATGTTTAATACTGAATCGATTAAGAATATTTGAAAACTATGATATTAATTATTGAACCAACCATATTATTGAACTAGACATTATAATGATGAGCTTTATTCTTTAAGTTTATTTGTTATTTTTACAGTCAGCAGTAGATATGTCGGATTCAGATGCTTCATGTACAAGACGACTAAGTAATATACCAGAAGAAATTCTACCACCAGTCATTGCATCCCTATTTCCTAATACACCATCAGTTTTGCGTTTTGTTGATGGTAAACAGATTGGTGAGTAAATTTTGTTTTATTTTATATGTCCGTGAAACTTTTGCTATGGGCCAAATTCCACAGGTGTATATAACAGGGTGAATTCATATTATGAACGCTTTGGGTTTATAAAAGTGTTTAAACATTAATCATTGTGCAACTAAATACCCTACTATAGTTTTTTCAGTTTTGAGTTCAAGACAATACTGAAGCTACCTCGTAATACACAAAGAATTTAAGATACATATCTAGGAAGCTCCTAATTCTGATGCCGTCATTTTTCCAATTAGGAAGGTTGACACTGAAATTTTACAACAAAGCATACATAAATTGATTCTTCCATCCCCAAAGTGTAAGACATGCTACAGGTTTCTGGGATGCAATAATTCCACAGATTAACAATATTAACGTCATATACATTGAGCTGATCAAGTCAGTACACTAATATTTAACTCACTCAACAACAGCCTTAAACCCGATTATCGGTAGAAATCTTAAGTCAACTTATTTTATAAAGCGATTAATCCTCCATTTCATTGATGAGAAATTGGATCACTTTTTGTATCGACCCCATATTTTGTTGTGACGCTGATTGATGGTGTGTCTCAAAGTATATCATCTATCAATTTCTAGTTTTCATAAAATCTCTGTCAGATGTATCTTGGCGATTAAAGCCATATTTATATATTTGATCGGACAAAAGTGTTTAGGTATTCTCATAATATGCAACCCACGTTGTTTGATCATCGAGTAAAGTTTCTATACCAGATCTTTAATTTTTCTGTCAATCTATCTTCTAAGACTTTAATTTGCATTCATTCGGATATCATCAAAATAAATGAATAAACAAATAAATAGTAGATTTAATCAACCCACAATTATCGTTTTATAAAAGTGCATAGTCTAGTGTTTATTTTAATATAATTCCTAATGATAGTTTATTGTAAAAATACCCAATATATCTGTTCTTGTTGAGCAAGACTGGATGGTAAGTTTATGCTTGGTTTAAGGACAATTACTTTAAATCAAACTACTTCACAGTAGTTGGTATGTTATTATCGTCCATCGTTTTATGTTTATATGTCTGAAAAATTCTTTTTTTCTTGGCGAATTATTAATTGGTTTATGAGTTTCTGTTATTTAGGATTTATTTACTGATGCTTGTGAATTGAGTGGTATTCATAATCAATATCCCTTGATTGTACAGATGCCTTGATGTTGTGGAGTAAAACATGTCATGCAATTATGTAAATGAAGTGTTTCCAGTTTGTCAACTTAATGATTTCATATCACTGTATTCGATAACCTTTTTTTTGTAAATAACTTGAACTAGACATATGTTGGAGTTTTCTTTACCAAATCGTTTGCTTGAAATAAACATATGTTGTACACAGAGTGATTCAGTATAGTTATTGAATTCCAAAACAATGTAATGTTAATTTCTATTATCATTAACTTCACAAATAATATTTTTTCATCTAATTTACTTCTAGTACCGAAATTTCCGAAACCTTACAGATATCAACTTCTTTGGCGTCCTAGTGCTATTACACCGAATGTGGTTAAACGTGTCTTAAGGAGATCTAATTTTCGGATAACATTAAGTATGAATTTGTTTTTGAATTAAAAGAATATTCTTACTAATGTTGATAATCTTTTCTCAAAAAAATTAATTTACTCTAAAATGGATGTTCCATGGTCCATTTATGTAGTAAGGCGATCAGTTAATTTACTGATTTTAAGCTCTTAATCAGTAATCATGTTAAATGAAAGCTTTGCCGTACATAACCTTCAAAAGAGTAGGGATCTAGCAGACATGAAGAATATTATAGATTGTTATAAGCTGGTGAATAAAACTCATTGATTCAGTAATGCATGTTAAAATCTTGTACCAGCTATTATAGTGTATAAAACAAAATTGATGGTGATCAGTTTTAACAGTTGATGAAGTGGTTACCTTTAAGTATTTTAAATTACGCATTTCAAAAACTATATTGTTGTTTAAGTGGATAACGCCTAAAATTAAATATACATTCATCATAAGGTGCATTTTGTAGTGTATAAGTGTGTTGAAATTTATTTTTACTAGCTCAGAGGAAACAAGTTGAAGCTGAGTTGCGTAAAGTTGAACCATTTTGAACAAACGTTTAGGGTTCAACACTAAGGATATTTCCATTTTACTCTATACAGAGATAAAACTCATCAAGAATTCTTGAACTGATGTATTTTGCCTTGAAGTTGATATATATATATATATATATATATATATATATATATATATATATGCAACAGTGAACAACGTGGAACTAGTAATTGAAAAAAAACTATTCAGTTTAACTATTATTCTCAGTCAGTCAGTAACAACGTAGAACTTCGTACTTACTTACATCAGTTCGAGTTGCCATACTACATTAGCACAGAGATGCAGTTATCGATTCAAATTTCACAGTGTTAAAGGTAGTAAGAGTATAAGCAGTAATCGGAAAAATTAGGGTTTGAAGATGTTATTCAAGGAGTATAATCTAGTGAAATAAATTTGCAAAGCAATAAAAAGGAGACACGTAGAATTCAGAAGATTATTATTTGGGAGAACACAAAGAATGGATACACCTGCTCCATTGAAAACGATTTTGAGCCATATCATTCAAGGTCTCTAACCATCGGTTGCTATCATCTCGCGGATCCCAACCAGGTAGTCTACACCTACCAATACGGCTCAGTCCACTTGTCAGTGACTTTATGTATTTGTGCCATGTTTTTGTCTGGCCGCCCCTAGTTTTCTTCCAAACTACTCCTACACCATAAAACATCGCACCGTTATTCTAATGATTACTGATTATTTCATATTTTTAGAATCAAATGAATGGATTGGATATTATGGAAATCATTTAAAACCATTCGGCTTTCGTCCCATAAGAGAATATCAAAAAGTAAATCATTTCCCTGGTTCATTTCAGTTAGGTCGTAAAGATAAATTATGGATAAATTTAAATCAGTTACGCTCTCGTTTTGGTAAAAAGTCAATCGATTTTGTACCAAGAACATTTTGCTTACCAGGAGATTTAAAATCATTGAAGGAGTTTTGGACACATAATGAAACTACAAATAAAAAGTCATCAAATGATGAAGCCTTATTTCATTTTCGACCTAGATGGATTATGAAACCAGTAAGTGTGCCTAAAAGGATTGAATAAAGAATTAAAAAGTTAGAATTTTAATTCACAGTTAAATCAGCTTTTATTATTTGCTAAATGAATGTAATAAGCGTACTTACTTACTTGGTTACTTACGCCTGTTACTCCCAATAGAGCATAGGCCGCCGACTAGCATTCTCAAACCCACTCTGTCTTGGGTCCTCCTTTCTAGTTCTATCTAATTGCTGTTCATTTTTCTCGTATTTTCATTCCGCTGTATCTTACTTATACGGTTTGGCAACTTAGTGCAACACACATCAGTACCATGCTTCACATTGATTATCAGTAACTGACTGATAACTTCTTGATAACCGTCATGAATTCTACTTGACCACAGAAGATCTCATGTTCTCTTCTCTTTCACATAGAGCTTTGAAAATATTTTCATAAGTCTTAAATATGCGTACTTAAACAACTCTGTGAAATTGTCTATTATGTTGCAACTCTGTTTAATGTTTGCGTGTTTAAAAACACTTTTGTCTCCAAACCTAAGCTTTCACTAAACGACATGTACACTTATTCAAATTAACATGATGTAACTGAACTTTATTTTATCTTCAGGTAATTCACACTCTGTTTCATTCTCTCTTAAGGCATCGCATCATTTGTAGTCAATGTAAAGAGTTTAGAACTTTGAAGTTAGAAGTGTTTTCTATGTTTGTTGACCACTGTTGCAGAAAGCGTTTAAACACTTATGTAGCTTACAGTTTTGAGGTTTTCATTGGAAGTAGACAATCATTGTCATCAAGAAAACTGTTTATACGATGACATCAACAATCCTGCACAACCTCTTCCGCCATTTAATGCCAAAATTATTGGTCTGAAATGTAAATGTAAATAGTACAGAGCAATATTATTCCAGTACAACTCAGTCAGTAAGTATTAGACTAAACATAAGTTCAACATGAGTTTATCTTAAGGTTTCAGAAATATTGTCATTACTTCCAAACAAACACAGTTCAAGTTTTAGATTCATATATTTTCTGCCAAGGAGTTAATAACGATCGCTTCCGCTATATGGTGGAGTTAAAATCTTGCTTCTCTAAGTAGGTGGCTTTGTACTTCATAGAGAACTGAAAATCCTTGATCTGATTTTCGCTACTAATTGGGAAATTCTGGTCTTATTGATTGATTTTCTGAATCCTTTTCTTAACCATCCTGGTATATATTCATGAACACAAAGAGTTAGTACCCATTGTGTACGGTCACTGTGATTAGCTCCGTAACAGTGGCTGATTTGATATATATACATGAAAGAGTTCATCATCGGTATCCTATCCTTGATTTCTTGCTTAAGTGGTGACTTAGTTGGGAAAGTCATATGCAATTTATTCGCGTTAAACATCTTTTCAATACATCTTCCAAGTACAATTGTTAATGAAGCATTAGCTATGTCTCCTTTAAAACAAAGTTTTAAGTAAAAGATTTTCGTATTTTGTGTGTCGTCCGTCGTCCTGTTTTTGGGTGGTGTGGCAACTCGAATTGATGTACGTACGTACGAAGTTCTACGTTGTTACTGACTGACTCTTATAATGCATTCTTTATTTTAACTGTTTCTTAATTCATACTGAGTTAAGGGGATAACACTTTGATTCTATGGTTGAAACATTTAACCAGACTTATCTGACACTAAACCGATATAAAGCTTTACAAGCGAGTATACTGATCTGTCCATACATTCGCTCTTACAATACGTCCAATCTTCTGGAATGGAGGAAATCCAGGAAAGCTATGCTACTTTCATATCGCTCCTCACTGGTGAATTTAATCGATGGATAAACTTTATTAAAACTGTTCAGCAGCTTTCATTTATTAACAGTGTTAATGCACACGATTAGCGTGCAATTTGTGTGTCAAAGTAAATCATGATTATTTTTTCTATCGATACCGATTCGAAAAATGATGATACTTCATATAACTATACTTATTGTCGTCGTTTGCTAAAAGTAACTGCTACGTATCTTGCTACTCTTATTATAATAGCCAGCATCAGCTCGTGGAATCGGAGTAAAATTAGTTCGTGGTTGGTCTGACATTCCTAAACAACGTCGTGTAATTGTTCAGTCATATATTAATCAACCATATTTAATTGATGGCAGGAAATTTGATATAAGATTATATGTTTTCGTGGCAGGCTTTAGTCCACTTCGAGCATATGTATATAGAGAAGGTTTGGTGAGATTTGCTTCACAAAAGTAAATTTTATTTATTTTCATTTCTTTGTATTTTATAACAATTTTATGACTTTGATTTACTGAATTACTGTTTAAACGAGATTAGAAATATCACTGTTTTATACTCCCGATCTACCTTAAAATAATAATGATAATAAAAGCTGTCAGTTATTTACTATTTATTTGAGCAGACTATGATACAGTTAACTGTTGAATTGAAAATAAGACGACTTTTAAATGTTTTAGTTTGCCTTAATTGCTTAAATTTTGCCCTGTTATTCAATGATTCGAAATTATTGTACATTGAATGATATTAAAAAATTGCATTACTCGACAATTCATACAGTATCGATATCAGTATACGGTATTGAAGATTAATAATTTTTTGATTGAGATCATAAACCGATTGGTGTTAGATCAGCATTGGAAACCTGGAAGCACTGGACGGCTGTTTCGTCCTATTGTGGGACTCCAAAGCAGTGCGCATTGACGATCCCGCTCGAGGGATTTCGACAACCATATATTGATAATTAACATGTGATCAATAGTGACTAGCTTAGTGAGGGAACTCTTGGAGTTCTAGTGAGAAGGCGTGACCAGCGCAGCTAATCCGTATCGGGTTGAGACAGTTATCTACCTCAGTACAATGGAAGATGGTTGCGCGATTTCGTGGATTGGTTGAGGTTAGACAATAACACTGTTGGAAGCCGGCCCAGTGGTTTAAAGGTTGAACGTCCACGTGCGAGATTGAAGACCCTGAGTTCGAATCCTGCGAGAAGGATCGTGGATGCGCACTGGATAGATTTTTATTAAAAAATATTTTTCATAAATATAAGGCATGTGTAAACTCATGTTTTGCATTATGTTGTATATTTAGTAGGATGACATTAGAAATAATCAATCTGCAATGAACTTTATCAAACTAATCTACATTCAGTGATAAACATTCTGACATTCATTATCTACTACAATCTATCTATCTTTTGTTATTTTCAGTATTCAATTAGAGTGCAAATTCACTCATTTAAAACAGAAGATTAAAACAGTAGAATATACAACTATCCAATCACAACTTTCATTTTATTGTATTTAAAACTCTTTTGTTCTATTTTGTCTAACCTTATTTGACTAGTATATCAGTTTTAGGTCTCGAGTTTTCTTATTCACCTTTCCTTTCTAAACTTTTATTTTACATAGGTATTCTACTTCTGTTCAACAATTAAGAAATCGTTTCGTACATTTAACAAATTATTCTGTTAATAAATATAATAAAACGGAAGAATCATTTGTATCTAATCATAAATGGTGAGTATTAAGTAGTGATTCTTGCAGTTTAAAAGTGTTTGTTTCTATACTTGTTTATGATTAATCAGCTGATCATGTCTTTTAGTTTTTAGTAGACCTTGTCTGTTTTGTCTATCGAGGCAATATACACAGTATGCACATATGCCAATAAGAGACTGATCAGTTTCAGTCCTAAACATCAATGGAAAGATTCAAGTAAAACAATACCAAGTGAATTAAACCTCACTCCATTGCACAAGCAAGTGGCTATCAGGACTCAGTAGCTAAGTGGATAACGCGGTGGCGTTTGAAGCGAGCGGTACTGGGCTGGAGTCCCGTAGTGAACATTAACTCTGAGATGCAGGTACATCCAGCTGACGAGTCTCAAATAGGACGAAACGCGCGTCTTAGATTCCGCTGCTAGCCACTATCCATCTTTGCTTACTATTACAGTTTGTCATCTAATCCCTTTCTTCTTGCATTGCCAAAAATTTAAACAAATAACCTAAATTTGGATTTTACCAATTCACGAACATTACAATTTTAAGCATGAAAAACTTCAACAACTCATGCATATTACAAATTATTTTCTATATATTTTAGGAAATTGAGCACATTATGGTCATATCTAACAGAACGTGGAGCTGATGTTCCCAATCTGTGGTCACGTATTGTTGATATTGTTTTTAAAACATTATCATCTGTTGCCAATTGTATTGCAACGATGGTTGATCAGAATTGTCGACGACGTGCAACAGTTTATGAATTATTTGGTTTCGACATCATATTGGATGCTGATCTTAAACCATGGCTTTTAGAAGTTAATGTATCACCGAGGTAATTCACTTGGGGGGTATACAGGCGTTATTTTTAATAATGTGCGTCAATATTAACTAGAGAATCATCATTATTACCTTTTAAACAACTAACATAAAATAATATGTAAATTTAAACATCACATTTTATTATAAGTAGATACTTTGGTGAAACTATTATATGTGGGACAACCATTGAGTGATGCCTAATTAACATTGAGGAAATTCACCTATTTTTTAAAGTCAAAAGAGGGTTACAGATTAGTGTGATATATTTGGATAAGAATTAAAAGTTATAAGTTAAGGTTAAGAATTAGAGTTAAGGTTATCATCACTAACTGCCATAATCTATAATTCCAAAATACTATTTGGTCATATGGTTGAATGTAATTCACCCCGAATTCTAAGACTGTCCATCGTTAACATCATTGATTCATCCATGAACTATAGTCTTGTTGATATTCCTTTTCAAATAAAAAAAATCATTAAAGCTTTTTTTATAGCGGGCATTTCCGTGTAGACTTTCCAAATCGCATTCATCTTTAGTAATCTACTTTAGGATTTTATAATTATACACTATCATTGGTAGGTTTTAACTCTATTCTAAATTTATTGTACAAAGCTGTAGGTTATCGATAATATTTTATCTATCAAGACATGAATTTAGAGATCATTGTCAATGTTCCACATGTCGCATCAGTCTAAAAATATGGGTCATTCTTAACACTAATTAAATTGTTACCGCTTTAGTTGCCGTTTCTCTTATTAATTTTATTTTTGTATATAATTTTCAACAATGTTTACAGACCAATTGATTTAGCTAACTGTTCTCCAGAGAATATGATACCATAATACTTTATTTTAGGCCTATTGCCAGCTATGTTTAAGTGCTTCTGATGTTTGTTAGAAGTTACTGATAACAACGTTCATACGAAACTTGAGGGGAAACAATTTACAACGCTTAAAACTGTATCACTAAGCAATAAGCATCATAAGGGTTTATCACCACCTACATTGGCGTGAATTGGCTTTAGTCTGAATTGCAGCTGTAGTATGTGAAGGCTGTATCTAATATCACAGTAATGACCTCAGAAGATTGAACAAACACGTAAGAACTTTGAATTGATTTTCCAAGAAACAGAAGCATGAATAAATTTATAGGCTACAGGTTATGAGATACCGGTAATACAAAACCAGAAATATCAAATTGCACTGCTTAATGAAACATTCAATACATATAACAAATATTATATGAAGAATCTTACATATAAAGGTAAGATATAATAAAGTACTTTAAGAGATCAACACGAATCCATTATATATATACAAAGAGAGAGAAATAGAGAGGGAGAGAGTTCGAAGCAACTTGAAAATCACTTTATGGCTACAAAATGCTATTTTAGATTTCAGTACTAACATCAAACGTTGGTATCAAAATTAAACTCCACAAAAAAATATAGTTTAACCTGCATGCATCTAATTACAATATGATCAAGGAATACTTAATTTTTTCTTACATTGTATCACGTGATATAATTAGCATTCTACATTGCAACGCGTCCACGAAGTCTGTACATATACATACATACCTATGAATACAACATTGTTGGTATTTTGCTTTTCTAGTTAATATTCTCATAGTCAGTATTAAACGATTCATTCATTGTGAAGAAACTTTATGATCTAAACAACTGATTAACGATCGTTTGAACCATTCCAATAGATTGGTTACTAATTGTTCGTCTTGCATGTCAATGAGTTTGTGTTTATCGACTGTTCTTCTCTTACATTCCCAGAAAAGTGAAACAGTTCTTAAATGTTTAATTTTGTGCAAAAAATATAAAAATATTTAAACTGATCGTCGAGATTTCAGAAATGAAGTAACCAACTTTGTGGTTTATTTTTTCACTTTACTGATAAGTAACGTCCAAACGAAATTGAAATAATGATAATACATCAAGAAGCAATTTGTCATTGTTCTTAACATGTAATAATTGAGCTGTCTAGAAAACCAAGACTTTCAGTACTAAAAAATCGAATGAATCTATGAAATCTTTTAATTCTATGAACCCCCAAATGCCCTGGTACGGCCGAGAGTGGGGACAGTCCGCTCTCCCTCTCGAAATACTCTCACACGGCCACGCGTATATAGTCTCTGCCAGGGAAGTCCTACTCACTGCCTTCTCGTGGCGGGGGTGTTGTTTACGAAAATGAGAGGACGAAAAGCGAATGTCCGGCGCTTTAACCGGATTCCAAACCAATGGTGCACATGGGCTCCAGTATCCTGCGGGAACAAATGGCGAATGAACCAATTGTTGGTCACCGGCTTCCATGGGACTGCATCTCCTTACGATTCTCCACTGCCTTGTGGATCAGACCTTCAGGTCGAAGGCTCGGGGTGTGGCCCCCTAAGAAAACCACCTGCTTCGGTTTGGGCACCCGGACAGTATCACAGCCCTCAAACATATCGAATGAGATTTGTGTGGCGCATATGTATTTGGTGCCTCTTTGTACCATTATCTATGTGTTGAAATAAATAAATAATATGAACTTAAAGGAACTTTCATTTGGTGGTTCTACCTGTTTAAAATATGAAGCTGATTTATTCCCTCTGTGTTGTTCTTTAACATTTTAGCTCTAAGTTTCACTATTTTACTATATCTATTGTTTCATTTAAACATCTATCTGTTTTGGTGGATTTTCCCTGTTTTTCCTGTTTGAAGTAAACATCAGTTTACATTTTCTATTTGTATTAAAAGCTAAATCATTTTTGGTTAGTAGTGATTTTCTATTCTAATCAAGATGTTGGATACAACAGCTAATTTATCAAATCTTTCATCTTTGTAAATTTATAACTTAATTTATGATAAAGTTTTTCGAGTTGCTTAGTGAAACTAAGTAGAGATCGCCAATTCTTTGGTTGAATTATTGGGCGTAACCTGTTCCTGTTTTCATAGCCCAAAATAGATCAGATAAAATCAGTCAACCATAAGAAATGTATAACCTGGCGCTTATGTACATCAAACTGGTACACTCTATCAGCACACGACAATAAAACTATCAAGATTATTAACAAAGTATTAGAATTAGTAGCAGTATCATCCGTAGTAAGAAAAAATCAGTAATAAAGAATGCGATTCAATCGGATAGAATTTATTTTCAGAATAGGACCTATAAAATAATTTTGAAACTTAGTGTCTTGAGGAAGTCAAATGATGAATGGATCTACTACAGTGTAAAGAATTCTGGCACATATAACACTAAAGGTTTCTACCTGTCGGTTATGGGAACCATAGTGACTCCAATCAGGTGGTCTTCATCTGCCAGTATAATTCATATTGCTATCAGTGGTTTGTTGGATTGATATTATACTTTGGGTTTTCCACCTTTAGCTTTCTTCTAATCTATACCTGCGCCAATCAATATTTCTCATCGAGGTAAACAGCTGTTGGGAATATGTCATACTTGTCCTAGCCACTTCATTCAGTGAAGATTTACTTGTCAAAAAACGGATTTACCAACTTGATCCAGTGTCCTGTTTCTAATGTAACCAACATTTACTATGAGGCCCCGAAATACGCGAACAATCCTTTGAAGACGCCTATGATCGAACACTAATAGTCTGAGAATATACTCTATTCCAAATGGCCATGTTTCACATACATAAAATAGAACAGAGACAACTACTGCTTAGCAAAGTTATTTTTCAGTTGAAAGACGGACATCTTGCCTGAAACCCAGTTGAGCTTTTTTAACCCATGTGGAAACTTTGTCAGATATTAACCTACCAGGGCTGATGATGGATTCAAAATAAAACGAGTGGTGGATGCTCTCAGCTACTTTGTTTCTCGCAACCAGTTTAATGATTTATTCCAGACAAATCCCGTAATAAAAGTTTGGATTCGCAGACTAAGAAACACATATTTAAGATTGTTGATGAAAGGAATCTTAATCAGTGATATATTGAAATGTATCTTAGACAAAAAATCTGAATGAAATAGTATTACGTTTAGTAGTCATCTAGTCCCAATAAATGTGAGAATAAGTCGTCTATGTTCTCATAGAGATGTTTTTTATAATCATGATAACTTAAACAACAACGTATCATTTTTGTGCATTATAAAACCTGGTCGTTATAAACATCATCGTATGACAATCCTAGGTTTACTGTCATCCTAACCGAACAAGTTTTAGATGGAACCTTACTATCAAGTAGTTCCTGGCACCTGACATGCAAATTGTTCTATCACTTAATCTAATAATATGATCCCTATGTAAAGTCCATTGCACAGGAAGCTATTTTAACTACCATAATATACAGTTCGAGGTCATAATAACATTCTGTTTTCCGTTTTCCTTTAAATTTGACCGTTGAAACTCGGAGGATACCATCTACTGGAGTTTTGCTCATATCTTATTCGTTTATTATACTTCAATATAAAAATAGTCACAAATATAATCATTATATTTCAGTTTACACACTAATACACAACTTGATGATGAAGTAAAAACTGCTGTTGTTAAAGATATGTTCAACATATGTGGGTTTCAACTGCCTCCTGACTACCATTCATCATTATCTGTAACAACTAGTCAATCAAGATCTCTAAACAATGTTCACTATCAGCTCAATAAAGATAAGAATTTAAGCACGACCGGAAGAGTTACTCCAGAGTCAATGTTACTGCTACAAAAAGGTGATCAATTCTATATGTCACGCAGAAATAACAACGATATCAATTACAGTGTAAAATTATCTAATCAAGATTCATGCAATAGATCCAGTGTTTCTATTTGCAATTTATCTACTCCTCATAAACCACTTATGCCAAAAGGAACTTCATCTATTAATGGATTGCCTCCACCTAGTCCATTTATTAATAATACACATACTAAAAGATCTTTGTCAGCTGTATCTGTTAAAACAACATTTTGTAGAACAAATGATGTAAAAGGGACTTCTGGTAAACTTCATTTAAATAACAATTCATTATTAAATAATAATAATAGTAATAATAGAATATTTGTTGATCCATGTATACCGATAACAGATCCACGTTTATGGGATATTAGTTTGTCAGCAGAGGATAAACGAAAACATCTATTTTATTCATCATTAATGACAGATAAAGAGAAAGTTAGTCGAAATCATTAATTTTAGTACATTTTCAATATGAAACGTTTTGTTATTTACAATTAACTAACTGTAGTTTAAATAAATGTAATTAGTTATGATTCATTTAGTCTTATAATTTCAAGAAAAAATACTTTCGCTGGGGTCTTGTTCTTTGAGCTAGATGGTTTGGTCAACCAGATAGACTTTTATCTGAAGTTTGTGCTGATGATGTCATTCAGAAGAATAATAAAAGCTTCACGACCAAACCATCCAATTCAGTAAACAAAACTTCAGCAAATTCATCCACCTGAGCTACAAATCTTCACTGTCTTTTAAATTGTTTATGTAAAAGGCATTTTTTCAAAGTTATTTATAAACAGTAGTTGACAACTTAAGAAATCCCTTAAAAATCAAATATTTCATTGATATTTAAATTACTGAGTGTTACAATTCCAAATTAATTTATCAGTTGTACTATTGTTTTTAGGTGTATTAATATTTTGAATTACATTCTCAGCAGATATTGGTGAAATGTAATTCTATCCGTTACGAAACTAGAATAATTCTGTTATCAAGAGATTCCTTAATAAAAATGCATTATATGGAGTTATTATGTAGTGAACACGTATGAGTACAATCGGATGTAAACGATGCGAAATTACAGAGCATCTCACTAAAATCTGAAAACCATACGGTAAATATCTAATTTGTAAAATATCAATCAATCGTCTCAAATTTCACTGTTCCTTTTGCAAATATCAGTCCATTGTCTCAGATTTCATTGTTCATGGATTTCCATACCTATTTCGTTTTTATTGCGTTCTTTCCTTATCGATCTTCTGCTAAAATACATTCTATGCCTGACCACCGCTATATACTACTTATATGGATATAAGTGACCCACACTACAATTATTATGAAGTTATGTAATATTTTGTGACATTATTGGTATATCATAGTTTCATATGTAGTTCTTAGTTAACAAATTGGGAGAAATCTACTAATTTTTTCAAAGGCAAAATCATATGGGATTATGGTGCATGAATTGACTTGTTAACTAAACTATTTCGGTTTATAAATCTTCCTGACTACAGAAAATGAAGAGAAATACACTCTCGATGGATTTATAGCTCAATGTTATAATTGTGTTGATAAATGAAATAAACAATTAACATATCATGTTTCCATTAATATTTTTATTTCAAATTGTAAGCATATTTTGATTTAAATGTTCCCTTGCTACAAATAGTCATAGATCAAAATCTAGGCAGAGATGTAGCTTCAAATATGCCAATTTATAATGTAGTCATTTGAGATAACCCATTTACTTTTGACATATAGAGATCATTGTGAAATTATGGCCAGGTGAATGAAGCTGGTTACAACTCTTCAACATTAGAGCTTCTTAGCTAGAATCATGGATGTACCAAGTGCAGCATAAAAATATGTTAATCAGTTTAAATATATGTGATTAATTAAGTAACCTTTTGTTCTGTAAAGACTGAATTTACTTCATGCCATTATAAATATCAAACATATCATGCATCGAAGTTTGAATACTTTGTTTCTTTGAAAGATACAGTTCGGAAAATAACATTTGGATCTCATTTACTGCCTTCATTTTAAACACTGACGTCTTTTAACACTCAGCTTAATTCTATTTGAATTATCATGCGGCTAAATGGTCATATTCCATTTGTTCTGTAAAACTAATAAAAATGTTGTTAAAATATGCTTTTTTTTGTTTTCCTTTTGATCATAGGATAAATCATCACAATTTTTTAACAGATTAAGCAAACATAACATGAAGAAAGCAACAACTGCTAGTACCACTACTGAAAATTTTTCAAAGGTAAATCTTTGAAACCTTTCTCTCATTCTATGTATGTATGTGTGTGTGTGATTTCAACAAAATTGAGGTTTCTTCATTCATTTATACAAGCTAGATTTTTTAAACTTATACTGTAATGTTAATTGACGTAATAATTTAAAAAGACTGCCAAGGTTTTCGTCATAAACAACCAAAACATAGATAATTATTGTCTATTGATAAACATGAAAAATGTAATAATGTCAAAGTTGAGCATTTTAGAAAATTATAGCTGAATGTTTGGAGGTGTAGTTTCCGAATTTAGAAAATTTTCTATTGCATCACGTCAAATAGATATGATTTTCTGTTATTATGTAACAACTGACACACGTATGGATGAATAAGTAGAATAATCATGTGAAATGAACAAAAATATAGGAATTCAACAGTATATAATTGATTCATTGCTATTTTCAAGAAAATACTGTTCAACGAAATATGGTTTATTACTTACTTACTTACGCCTGTTACTCCTCGTGAAGGAGCATCGGCCGCTCACCAGCATCCGCCATTCAACTCTGTCCTCGGCAAACCTTTCCAGCTCTTTACAGTTGTTATTCATCCTTTCCATATCTGCTTTTATTTCCCGACGTAATGTGTTCTTTGGCCTTCCTCTTTTCCGCTTCCCTTCAGGATTCCAAGTTAGGGCTTGTCTCGTGATGCAGTTTGATGGTTTACGTAGTGTATGTCCTATCCATTTCCAACGTCTTTTCCTAATTTCCTCTTCAGCTGGAAGCTAGTTTGTTCTCTCGCACAAAAGGCTGTTGCTGATGATATTCGGCCAATGGATGTTGAGTATCTTGCGTAGATAGCTATTTACAAATACTTGCACCTTCTTGATGATGGTTGTTGTAGTTCTCCCATTTTCAGCTCCATACAGTAGAAGTGTCTTGACATTTGTATTGGTTGAAAGTTATTTTGAGTTTCATATGTTCTTCAACTGTAGGAATGCTGTCCTTGCTTTGCCAATCTTCGCCTTTACGTCTGCATTTGAACCTCCTTGTTCATCGATTATGCTTCCCAGGTATGTGAAGGATTCTACATCTTCCAGAGTTTCGCCATCAAGTTTGATTGGATTGCTGTTCTCCGTGTTGTGTTTGAAGACTTTGGTTTTCCCCTTGTGTATGCAAGTATGAGTTATGTATAATATATATTTCATAAGAAAAATAAACTAAACTTTCTCAGCTGTACTGACTGAGTGAAAGGAAATAATGTTTTTTTTTGTTCAGAAAGTTGATATACATAACGAACTAAAGTTTTAATGCAAAAAGTTGATTTTAAATAAGCATTTCCTCATGCATCACATAAAATATCAGCTTTTCAAGTTTTAAAAGAACTAGTTCCTCTAATACATTACATCTGAAATCTAATTGAGTATATAGATTCTGTAAATCTTTTTCAATATATTAACTTAACGCTGTGGTTGGACAATGTTTATTACTTTAAATTTATGAGTAGGTTGTTCATCCAGATTATGGTTAACATCAATGGGGAATATCATATTTTGTAATTTATTCTATATGAATGTTTCGATCATATAATAAGCATAAAGTTAGTTACCGAATTCCATTAATTACAACGTATCAACTTCATGTATTCGTCTTTCAATCCATGAAATATATAATAATATGTATTAACCACACAAAAATACGTTGTTATTGATTTAGTTAAACAGCATAAACTGGATTCTGAACATCATTAGTTATTCAGCTTTAGTTTAATCGTTAAAACATTTAGATCTCTATGACAATATCATTGGCTTTAGTTTTCCTAAGCATATTTTATTGACTATTATGAAACATCATATATAATGTCATGGATCTTAAATCAGATTTCTGTGATAGTTACTTAAGCAAATGAAATATAATGTTACTCTGTTTGCTTTCATTGAATTTACACTATGAAAAAACTGTTCCGTGCTATCTCAGCAAATAAAATCATAATTATTATTGATTAGTATATAATAGCACTTAGTAAATATTTACTTGGAAAATTTAAAACAACATAGTGAACACAATTGTATCATGTTAATTAATTAATAATCTTGTTATTTAATTTCTTGAGTAGCTTGTTAAAAGTGGATGTATCACTAAGGCTTTGAATAAGTTTGAGCATTATTGATATATATATGCTAAATCATTCATGGGACGTTTAATTATTGCGGCACATTTAAAAGTGTTCTGGACAAAGTTTGATTTTGGTGTGTTTTGTTGAGTATAGTATATGATATACCACATATTATATCATATAATGTTACTATAACAGTCGAAAGGAAACTTATATCGAAAAAAATTACAAAATAGTCTGAATTAATTTGTTAGTTTCAATTTTTGTATCAACTTTACACTAAGCCTGTTGAATCCTTGCTTAACGAATCATGTCATTGATGAGTTCAGGAGGTGACTATTGGTTAACTCAATATATAACGTACACACTCGAAGCCCACCAAAACGTTATCGTAACTTGAAATACATAATAGACAGTGTAAATAAGGAACCAAGGAATATGGGTTCCAGAATGAAGTCCCTTTGCAAACCGTCACGATTTTAAATAGGAAATCAGGTCTTTATCATCTCGTATGCTATTATTTTTCATGGGTACGATCCCCTCTGATCTTAAGGATTTTACTAAAGCTGCATCTTTCATTGATTTCACGACTACTGAAGTCAATAAGCGAATGATCTTCAGAAATATTGTTATTATTTACCATATACCACACAAGGCCCTACCTATTTCGAATGGGAACACGATCTTTAATGCAGCTAACCTCCCAGATGGCTAGTATCAGTGGATTCGTCTCAATAAAAACCACTCGCATTCAGTTGCTGAACAACTGAACGATTCAGAACAGTAAACTGGTGAACTTACCAAGTAAAAAAGTTCTCATATAGTCCCAGATAAAACTACCAACCATAGGCTTACGGAAAATAAAAATTCAGTAAAGGAAAGTTTTTTGGACGAAATCATTTACTTGAACTGTACGTAAGTACTCATAGTTGTTTAATAAATATACGAGTAGAAAAAGAATACGGAGTGATGGCATCATAAACTGATCCGAGATTTCAAATATCAAAAGAACGTTGCATAAGAATTAAGAGGTTGAAAATAACTTAGTGGTCTGAAATATAACTGTTCAACTAACATATATGAAGAAGAAATAAAGAACAGAGGCAATGGATTACGGTTTGCACAAGATTATAGATTGATTAAGGGAGTTTCCCATCGAAGACAATCAAAGATGACCACGTGGTGTCATGGATTAATCGATGATAGACATTAACATCTATGAATACCGGCCTGGTGGTTCAGAAATTAACCATTCTTGCGCGAGGCCGAAAGTACAGTGTTTGCTTCTCACAGACGCACACTACTGAGGAGTCTTTTGCTTAGACGAAACGAGCGTCGAGTGCTTCCAGGTTCTCCCTGGCAGTCTAGCTAAGAACAGTTTGTGATTGTAACTGTAAAAGAACGTAAAGGTCACTAAATCAACTGAATAATAATCCGAAAATTGTTAGAAGATAACAATAATTGTTTAAGGTTTAAATAACTACCAAATGATAAGAACAAAACAAAACCAGAACACACTGAAAAGCATCAGAGCCTTAGACTGTTGAGAAGTTGCACGCATTGCTTTTGCACTCAGAGCTCAGGCCTGTTGATCACAATCACTTCACACACCAGCAAGTTATAATGGTGTACTTAACCCAGTTTTTTCAAGAGATGATGTCCTATTTTCTGCACAGGAAAATGGAAAACGTAAAATCAGAGACCATATAATGGTTGCCGCTGTTCGTTTAATTACTTTATAACTCTTTGATAGCTTTCTCCCTTACAAACACTGGATGATATACGGACTGCAAACATTTGCACTTGAACTTTCTTTGCACTCAGTAAATAGGTTCAGATTACAATGACTTTTTGTCTAGTATTATTATGGAAGAAACAAGCACATTTTACCAGACCTTATACAATCTATTTCACTCATCTTAGAATTAGTAAATCTACAACCTCTCTTATAGTTTCAAGGAGCCATAGGAATTACTTTGCGAGCAGATTTCTGAGACTCTGAAACAGTTTGCCGCAATTTGTCCGTTATATGAAATTAGTTTTGTCAGTTTTGGCTATATCAGCAGTTACTTTTCTTTCGAAACTTCGAAAAATACTTACAGCTACAACTTTATAAGGGTGTTAAATAGGGTATTAAATTTTTATCATTGTTTATGCTTTGGATATTTACCAAGCTCACGTTGTTGTAAATATTTTGAAACTGCACTATCCGTGATTAATTTAATCAATTTTAAGAAATTATCCATTTATCAGTATGGGGTTGTGGAGAATCTTAACTTTTAATAAAATCATTAACTGATCGATAATAGACCACCTTTGAGAGCCTGTGTCACATTGGTATAAACCACCAGATACATGTCCGTTCAAGATATTTTATGAACCTTATCTTTTCAAATAATCATTTGAACCGTTTACCTATCTTTAAAATATAACATTTCTTTCTGGATCAAACTGTTCATGACTATAAGTTGTCATAGATTCTGTAATAATGTCTAAGATATAATTTATTTGTTATTTTATTAATACACTCTCAAAGATTACCTCCAGTTAACTTATATACTTAAAAGAAGGAATGATAAACAACAATATAAGTTCTGGCGGATGAAGAATGAGCGGTTTCATTAACCATTCTTATTATTAATTATAATATACATCAAAGTGGAGTGATGTTTTCAAATATTATCTTTGCTATTCACTTTTAATCTTTTTACATTCACTTTCCTATGGCTTTACTCTTTCAAGTTTATATATTTTAACTATGTCACTGAATTATTCTCTTTATTTAATTTTATGTCAAATTCCATGAATAAACATTCGATTGTATCAGTTTTTCTTCAGTGAACTATTTTACATCAAATGATACTTTGAGGATGAAATACTATATATTTCGTAGTGAACAAAATGTTACACAACCGTCTAATAAGTTAATCTCTAAATCATACTTTTGTCTTCAGACTATGTAATATAGCTCACATTCTGCTATATCAATATACTAACAGCTAATGGATTGATCTGCCTGTTTTGTTTACACAAAAATGTAACCAAACCAATGGTTTTCACTCAGTATTCTTAATTTAATAATTCATCTCATGATATTTTCTTCGAATACTTTTCTTAAATGACGGTCATATCTATCGCTAACAGAAATTAATCATAAAGAACTTTAATAGTAGATAGAATATCTAAAATACTATTAAGTGATAATTATTTTGTAACAGTGAATGAAATACATAAGATTTTCCGATACTGAAATAAGGACTTTCAAATTTCATGAATTACATTGACGAATGCAAAGATTAAAAGTTCCTATCAATTTTTTTTCATTATTGATTACATTAATTTATAAATTGAGTCAAACAGTTTGAAAACCTCTTGTCATTTTCACACATTAGGATCCTATGAATATATTACGTCATATTTTATTAGAACTTTCACCGGATGATTTGCGTACATTAGTCAACTTAATCGATGAACGTTATCGTGCTGCACTTGGTAATTTTCAATGTATTTTTCCAGTTCATGGATCTAGAGGTTATCGAATGTTAACCTTTCTTCAAGGAGCTTACCAGGAGAACATAGTTGGTGGTACATTAGGTTCACGTTCACCATCTTTTTACTACTATGATATACTTCAATATGTGTTTTTGACAGTTCATCATAATTCAGAAGGTAATGAGGATTTATCCTGTGATTCCTTTGTCCACTGTTTTTACGACAAAACTTTACCAGATCGAATAGCACTTATTTCAAATGAATTAAATACCGAATCTTTGTCCATAGCAGGTGAAATGACAGGCGTTTCTATAGCTGGCTTAAAATCCGTAATCAATTTATGTAAAAAGTAAGTAATAGATTGTTTCTACGTTCTTAAATAAATTTAGTAGTGACTTATTTTAAGCGGAGTTAAGTTATCAAGACTTTTATACATACCATTTGTGAATCTGAATTTATAACATCCAGTACACTTAAATACATTTTTAATGCAGATGTATTTAGATAATCATCTAACTGACCGGATACAATGACACAAATATTGTTACTGGACTATCCTCCCTAAAAAACTACTTTTTTAGGTAATTCAACTGTTTATACTAATCGGTTATTGAGTAACAATCATATTTTTTAATCTAAACATTTAATTGATGAAATCTATGACTGTAAAACTGTGTGATAGGAGTTAAACCCCTTTATAGATTGGACTTTATGGAAAATGCTATTTGCTTTGACTCAGAGCTTATGAACATTCATACCTATCCACCTGGGATCATAAGCAATATGCTACAATATCTAACCGCTCAACATGATCTTTATATTGAAAATTTATTATCAGAATTCACTTGGAGCTGAATTAGACACCAGTTATGATTCAAAACTTCGAGCTGGTCTGTGAGGCTGTTAACCACAAATACCTTAAATCAATATCTCGTTTTGTAAGATGCACTGAGTCCCATGGTTGCCAGTTTAAGACTGATTTTTTATGTAAGTAAAGATTAGGCACAGTAAATATTTATGCCTTGATATTTTACTATCGTGCAATCTGCACTAAATGCACGTATTTCAAAAGCGTCTGGTCAATCAAAGTCACAAATGACGGTGAAAAGATTCAAACAACCAATATAAATGAACTGAACTTCACAAAATTTCTATCTGGACTCGGTAGCTAAACGGATAATAAGTTGGCATTTGAACCGAAAGTTACTGGATTAGGGTCGAGAAGTGAACAGAAACTCTGCGATGCAGACACATTGGGTTGATAAGCCCCAAACAAGACGGAACGTAAGTCCTAGATTCTACCTCTGGTCGCCGTTCAACTCTGGTAAATAGTCCTTATCATTTAATGAGACTATCGAAACGATACACAGAGGATGCACAGATGATTACAGCGACAGATCAAATGAAGTCTTGAAAATCAATCGGAAAGCTTAAAAAGCCAATACAAATTAATTGTACGTAATAGTTTGTGTTTAAAAATAATTATTTTTAGTACGTACATTGTTATTTAAATGCCTTCATACTTTTTTTCTGTGTAGAGCTGTACATTTGAAGAATTCAGATTCACCTCTGAAATCTAGCCAGTTTTTCAAAACACAATGTGATACAAATCCAAAAACATCAAATTACAGTTTAAATAAAATTGACCTCCGTGAATATCATAAAATGGATAATTCTATTTCAGCAGGATATCCAAATGGTAGTTCTTTTGAAAATCAATGCATAGATTTGAATAATATCAAAACTATTGTTAAGACAGACGAATGTTCAAATCAATCACAAGCAAATACTCAGTATATTGATGAAAATAATGATGTGTATTTGAAGCAGCATTATAAATTAGATAATGAAATTGATTCACACGATAAATCTTCACCATTATCATCTGTGGAAAGTAATACATTTCAATCATCAGTAAAGAGAGAATCAACTCAACCAAATATTAAATTAAACAATAAAAATTTTCTTGGATCAACGCTATCAGTAATAAATGATAGTACTGATTTAAACAATTGTAGTTATACCAAAACTTGTCTCACAAACGCTGTTATGAATACCAAATTTGTGAATGCATCAAATAACACAGTGAAAGAATCATCGTTACCTTCAGAAATGTCATCTGATAAAAAGCAAACGAATATTTCTTCAGTACAAATTCAAACATCCAACTGGGATGAAAATGCTACCAAATCGTTTCATAATGTTACGTGTACTTCAAATAGTTACCAAACTTTGTCACATGAACCTCATCCAACAAGAAATATGAAACCTGTAAAATATTCATCATCATTATCATCGTCATCAATAACAGCAGTAGCACCCACAAATCCATCAAAATTCTATGGTTATCATATTCTTCAACATACGAATTCTGAGAGAATATGCAAGTCACCAGATGAAATGAATGACATATCGACAAATTTTTATAAAGATAACAGTCATATTAATCAACAGATAAAAATGTCAGCAACATATTACACTAATGATAAGTATCATAATAAAAGTAGCAATAAGGGCACTATAAATAATGTAAACAATAAAAGGCAGAAGCAACAACTGATTTCCGAATATCAGAGTAATAAGTACACTGATAGCATATCGAATAACCATCGGCGTTATCATCGTATCAAATCTACTTCGGCTATGTGCCCAATAAGGTCTTATTCACAAGACAGAAGTTTGTGCCTGAAAAACCCTAACGATAGAAAAGGTAAACAATTACACTAATTGTTAAGCTTTTCGTGAAAAAAATAAATCAAACTGTTCTGTTAATAATTTGATTTGTTAATTATTTTGATAAAATTGCATTTCATCCCTAAAATAGTAGAACCGTAGTTTAAAATAATGAATATAAAAATACTGACCTAAATACTCTTTAAACTAACCTGTAAATCCCTTTACCATCTAGGTTTAGGGAGTTGTCTTCATTTTTTCAAAATAGTATCTAACTTTGTATAGATGATTAGCACAAAATTCAAAACACACCTTGTACTGTTAGATCCTCATGCTTCTATCGTAACAAGTTAGTACCAGTAACAAACAAATAAGAAGAAATTAAATTACTAAGAATGGTTGACTTCATGAGTCAATTGAAGCTAGACCACCATGGAAAACCTGCAAGCTACAATTGACTCATGAACCCAACTATTAAATTACAAGGAATTCTACCAAACCCCTTTCTGATAATAATCATAGCTTTGATTGAAGCAAACATGGTACAGATTTTGTTATGGAAATCCTGTATAATATTTAAACATGTATTTTAAATCACATCTGGTCAAACTGAATTTCATACTAGTTGCAAAAATCAAGAAAATAGTTGAAATATTTTGCAGTTGTAAGAAAAAATGTCATTGAATATTTGAAGATCTGTCAGTATATCCAGGTTTTCTAGTAGACTATTGTTTGAAGAATTAACTTACTTACTTACTTACTCACTTAGTTACTTAGGCCTGTTACCCCCAATGGAGCATAGGCCGCCAACCAGCATCAACAGAACATGTTTAGTTTTGTAGTCATTTGGTAAAATATAGAATCAGTGGAATACTAAAGTGGCAATTGCACATCTAAAGCTTTAGTTTGCCTTAACTATCAAGGCTACATAACAATCACAAATATTTCAGTAGACATGGTAAATTGGAGAAAAATATGGAAAATTTAGTATTTCTAAATTTTGATGTAATAAACTTTAGATTATTACCATGAACTCAGCACTCTCTAATGATGTAGAAATTCTGTCAGAAATCATGGTGGAAATCAATGAAGAAAAGAGTCTATAAGAAAGATGTCTTGGTTGAAGCTGTCACCTTTTCCTAAACTAAGTCAAAATAATTCTTCTCTAATGATACATTAATTTTGATTGATGGTCTTCAAACGTTTGAAATTTAGCAAAATATGTCGAGTTGTAGAACTATTAATTTTAATGATCTTTTCATAAAACTGGTCGATTGTTGCTTGTCAGATTTCAATAATCCTATGCTCGAATAATCTAATTGGAACATTATTCAACTATGGTAATATGTAAAATGAGTTTAGGTATTTCATAGACTAATGATCTACTCAGTACTAAATATACTTCATTAGGTTTATTTCAATCACAAGTAAATCTGATAATAACCTTTCTCAACAAATTAACGAAAGTGTGTTTCATATATGTATTTGTCTAACTCTCATAATCTTGATCATAATATTTGTCAAACGTTTTAATAATTGACTTTGATAAAATCATCTTTGCATATTTTGTGTTTGTTTTTCTTCAGGATCTTTTGAAGATGTTTCAATGTCTAGTGGTTATTCATCATTTATACGAGACAAATTAAATTCTTCATTTAGGCATTTGGTATTAGAAATGAAAAAACCACAAATATCCAATTGATATGAACAAATTAAATTCATTGAAATTGAAAACATTTAATTTCATTGTGAAATAATGTAAACATTTTAATTCACTGTGATAACTAATAACTCCCATTGTTACTAGTACTGAAAACTAGCCAAATCTACTATTAGTACATGTATAAATGCATTTCATTGAAATTACTATTTTTGGTTATAATTGTTTGTGTTTAAATCAGATGTTAAAAGAATATGTATTCAATGTAAATTTTATTTTGTTTAAATATGCAATAAATAGATGAATTACTAGAAAACTTGAACAAATCATTTTATAACTACTGGATACTTAAGTAAGTATAGTTAAGTCTCTACTATTTAAGATAGAATAGATGATAATGAAATAAACATAAAACTTAATCCGATGTCGAAAGATAGGTCGTAGTGTCAGTTGTTATGTTAAGCCTATATACCTTATTCTAGCATTCAGACAGCCCATTCTATTCATCACATTCTGACCTTGTTAATTATCCGCTTATCAATCTTGATTGTTTTTATATGAGCGCGTAAGTGTGTGTACACTTCCTATCTCATTACCCATCACATGTCTGTAACTTACTTTTGTGTAACTATAAATATTGATTAACGCTTGGTTAAAGAGGAGTTGGCTTACCCGCCATCTTCACTCTGTGTTCTTTCTTTTCTCTCTATTAAAATCGCTTTATATACAAAATATGTGTATTCACCATTCCATTCTCGTTATTTGACTTATTTAATTCCGTTATTGACTAACGCGATTTAAGTCGACGATTATACACGAGGATAGGCGATAACAAACATTTATACGATCTAATTGGAGCCATATCCACAGGCCACTACAAGTGGAGTTATAAAAAAATAATTAAATAAGATGAATATATGTAGCATTTATGATCTATTGCAAACCGCCTGATATTTCTGTCATTTAAATAATCAATTTTTAATAATTTATACCTTTAATGAAAGAAGACTTTGTGGGGGAAACCAATTTATTGTTTAATGTAAAATTAAAGTGTCTTGTTAAAATACATACATTAATAACATTATTTACACATCTCCCTTCAGATCTGCTTTACATTCTTCATGAATGTTCCAACTCTGTTCTTATTACATTAGCTCTTTATTTCTCTTCCAGTTCTCTTGAATTCATTCTTCAGTTGCAAAGCATTCCACTGCAGATTGGTGCTACATACTACGTATATCTATCAGCATAACTAGCATACACCTTCTTGTACTTCAATGAATGGAAGTCACTGACTTTATGGAGTTATATTATACTGGTTTCTAAGCATAGTATGTGTTTATCAGCCTAATTCTGCATTAGGCCTTGACTAGAGGAGCTTCGACACGTTTTCCAGTGGCTTATCATCTACCATTAAGACATAGGTGTGATCAAAGGAACTATTAAACAAAATTTATGTAAGGTAAAATTTAAAATTACATCAAATTCCCTTAAGATTGAGAAAATTGATAAGGGTATGAATTCTTTAAACTCATAACGAGGACGAAGTTCCTACACTAAGTATATACCTAATTTAAAAAAACTTTGGTTAACTATTTCCTTTTATTTTAACCCACAGATATAGTCATCTTAACACTTTCATAATATCATTTATAATGCTAAAGTTCCATAAGAATCTTAAATAAAAGTTGTCGTCATTCATCAGAATATATCTTTGTACGCAACAAATTTAGATGATTCAGACTTATAAACTTTCCTATGAGATATTTAATTTAAAATACCAGGATGGAATACTATTTAGGCTAATAACTCTTATTCACAGAACTACATACTTTTAATATGAAAAAATTAGTTTCCAAAGATGCTGTTGAAAAAAATGTAACAGTCTATTCATCGCATTAATTTTGTGTTACCTGTTAATTATTTGATTTTATTAGCACTATTTCTGTTTACTGATTACTACTTTTATAAATTTTAAAGATTTCACCACTTAGATGTAGGATAATGGAAGGCTCAGTAACTTACTTGTGGTAGCTACACTAACTGCCTAATCAAATGAGATAGAGTAAATGATCATTGAAAATAAGTTTGCGGATTAACCTTTTTTGTAGCCAAAGGTCTCATTTTGATGAATATTTAGTCTTGATTATGTTTATTGAAGTTTTGATTAGGTATTAATTAAATGGGAAATTGTTCACTGTAATTTTCACTTACTATTTCAGCTATAAATATTCATGAAATGTTCGATCAACCACATCTATTTCACAACTAATTTGACCCTACCTAAGTTGAAATTTCTATACAAAGTTACTGGTTAAAGAATTATTTTTCTGCGGGATGAGGTTTCCAAACCTCCTCCTTTACCTGAGCTTGGGAGCGGCAGTAACTCTAAAAGGGCTACAGGCGGAGTTGGGAGCCCAGCCGGGATTCAGTAGCTAGGTGGATAACTTGATGTCGTTTGAAGTGAACAGTATTGGGTTTGAGTCCCAGAGTGAATATCAACTCTGGAATGTGCAGGTTTACCCAGCTGATGGGTCCCAAATAGGACGAAACGCACATCCTGGATTCCACTGCTAGCCACTATCCATCTATACAAAGTAAATAAGTACTAATAATATTTTTCCAGAATAACCATGAAAGCTCCTCAATTCAACTATCTAATTTATGAAACTTAACTACAGCATAAAGTAAAAGTAATCCAAAAAATCAGAAGAGGTTTTGTGGAGATTTTAAAAATTTTACTAGTTGAAATCATGAGTCAATTGAAACTACACCATCATGGAAAACCTAAAAGCACTGGATGGTCTTTTCGTCCTAGTATGGGGCTCCTCAGCAGTGGTTGAAGTAAGACATTGATACCTTTGGATGCCGGCTCAGTGGTCTAATGGTTAAGTGCTTGCGCGCGAGAATGTTAGGTCCTGGGTTTGAATCTCGCGAAGGGCGGGATCGTGGATGAGCATTACTAAGGAGTCCCGTACTAAGACGAAACAGCCGTCCAGTGCTTCCAGGTTTTCCATGGTGATTTATCTTCAAATAACTCATGATTTCAACTATTGAAAAAAAACGAATCAAAATCACTTCATACTAATTACATCATCAATATAAATTTTTACGACTGAATTCTCTTCCTTTTCTTATTTTCTCTTATTCAAACCAAAAATTTTCATCTTATATTGAATTAAAATTTATTTATAGTAAATAAAAGTAAACCAAATGTTGATTAACCGATTTGTATTTACCCTTTAAACATACTAAGAAATAGGAAACCAATCAGAAAAAAAATATACAAAATTCAATTACATTTACATAGAGATAATTAATTAAATTTAATTATTTCTTTTTTTTCCTACATTTTATATACACATTTGTGTTTAAATAAACAATCGTTTGTATAACAATGTAATTAATACTCTTGCATTAATTTTTTTTTGAAAAAGAAGATATTTGGTTAAATTTAGCAGCTTTTAGTTTAGTACATATATAGAAGTTTTAATATGGTAGGAATTTGTTACTAAGGCGAATTTTATTGATGTTGTATTCAATGAGATGAATAGTTTAAAGTTATCATTGATTGAGGAAGAATAGAGCTACACAATACATAATAATAATTGAAAAGAAATTATTTTCTGATAAATTGCTTCAATTGATGCAAACATTACATCATATAAAGTAGTCAATGTTATCTCTCGCTTTCAACTTGGATACGAGAACATATCCCAGCTTGGTTCTATAAGGGTGAAAGGGAAGCAGTTAGGAGTTCTATACTTGAACACCTAATCGACTATAACCATTCAACAGATCCACAAATTGACTTTAAGGTTGTTTATATGATTCGTTCAAATCTACCCAGATTTCTTCGTATCCAACTTTTAAAAATAGCCGAAGCTCTTGCCATCCAGGAGCTTAAACCAGAACTATGCGTACAAAAGAAGTACGTCTTATCGTTATCGTTACCTTGGCCTTAATTAGTTTGATTATCCTATTATTATTATTATTATTATTATTATTATTATTATTATTATTAATACTCCATTCCCCCTTTACTTATATCTTATATTCTCATTGTTTTATTAGTGAATACTCATCATATCACCATATTTATTTATTTTTACACCTCTATGACCTTTATTTATTATAACAAAAACATTTTAATCATCTTATTATAATCACTAAATCTATTGTAATTATTATTATTATTCATATTACGTAATCTATTATAACCTTCTTATTAACTATGTTCACATTTCCTCACGGAATTAGTACTTTTATAAAAATTTTCATATATATACGATTGTACAGCTTGATAATAAATTCGTTGAAAAGAGATTCCTTCGCTGAAATTCGTGTTTTAATTTTAATGTTATCTCTGTTTACATAAACATTATTTAGCTCTCTAACGTCAAAACCGATCTTCACTTTTATGAATACATGCAAACTGTTAGAGATATCGTTTCGAATAGAGAAAGTTTGAATTTTTGAAAAGAAGAAACAATAAAAACTTTACATTAAGATCATTCAAGAATCAATAGATACAGTGAAACGGATTTGATTTATTAACCAATGAAATCAGAAATCATGTAATGAAGAAAGACATGTAGTGTTTATTCTGGCTTTATTTACTTACATTCAAAATAAATGTACAAACAATGATAGTTGCTTGAAGTTAATCGGACTCAGTATCAATAGATAAAGCTGTTGATATATATTAAATAAGTTTCAACATCTTGTTGTTTTAAGACTCTGTACTGTTAAATTTCCCCGAGGAAATCTATTCAAGCTTTCAGGTCATTGAACATAACGTACTAACAATACATTACCATTTAGCATCCAATTGATTTCTTAAAAATCAAGTTTTTCATCAGTATTCTATAAAGGTCTATAATTTATCAAATGTCAATAAATGGTAAACGGTTATTGTTTTATCAGAATGGGGGTTTGTAAAGAATGTAGTACTGTATCGGTTAAATCCATGAGTCGATGTAAGTTAGACAACCGCTGAAAACTTGAAAGCACTGGGTGGTTGTTCCGTCCTAGTATGGAACTTTTCACCAGTGCTCATTCACGATCCTGCAAACAGGATTCGAACGCATGACCTACGTTCTCGCACTCCAACGCTTAACTTTTAGGCCATTGAGATGCTTATGAAACATTTATGTTTTTTCCTCAACTTTCACAGATAACGAGGTTATTTATTTCGAACCAATAGGATTAGAAGTAATAGTTGATATTCCCAACAAACTT